GTGCGATACCGCCTAAGCGGTGTACATCAAGTCGTACACGTGTTCCGGGCGTGTGTACGTGTATACCAGATAAGGGTGACATTAGCATATACACGATTAGCGTACACGCCGTAGATCATCCGGCGTTTAAGTTATTTCCTCTTTATTGCGGAAGTGATTTAGATGAAAAATCGCCTCGCGCGGCCGCACGCGCGCCTGCATGAAATTATATTTTATCGCGAAACTTTCAGAGAGTAACGAGAGAAATGCCCGGGACAAATGCGCAACGAAGATTGAGAGGGGAATATAAAAGCTTGTTTTTTTATTTTATGAGCGATCGCTATTTATCAACGGACGGGCTGCGGTATTCCCTCTCTCTCTCTCTCTCTCTCTCTCTCTCTTTCTCTCGAGGACTTAAAGTACGTCAGACTTCGAGATTCACGTTCCGCAACTTCCTTCACTCCTCGTCCAATTTCACCGTCGTAACTTTCATTTGGTGGTTGTTTTTCACCAGCTTTGGAGAGTTCCTATTGATGACATTTTTCTCTTTCTCGTCAGCGAATTGATCAGAGCTTTAGTTAACGAAAGACTGACTCCTCGAATCGGCCCCGAAAATCCGTAAGTTTCAGATTAGATGGTCAGTCGATTCTGGAACACTCTGTACATATCTCATGCATGTTAATCGGCGGGACGTCGATCCGCCTCAAACAAAGCTGCGGGCTCGGAGGCGAAAGTATTATACGAGCGTCGGAAAGTTACAAATCGAATTCGACGGTGGAATTTTACGACGACCACGGCGAGGACGACGTGCACGCGCACGTATGTTAATTATTAGCCCTTGACGCACCCGGGCACCTCTAATTATGCGCACATGAGCGGCGTCACGTGGCTCGAATTGATCGCGGCCCGACGCTGCGTGCGCGGTGTGTTACTGTCGTTTACACGCTTCTAAGAGCCATTAAAGTTAAACGTCGGGAATTTTCATCGCAAATCGCCAACGGACGGACGGACGGACGATCTTCTCGGGCCGCTGCGTGGCAATAATTAACGCGCTGTCGTATCGTCCTTCCGTTTACGAGCTCGAACGATGCATCGAAACTCCCTAGACGTTCGTTAGATTAAAAAAAGAAAAGAAGGCTAAAAGCAGGGGAGAGCGAAGGAAAAAGGAGAAGAAAATCCCCCGTAAACGACAAACGTTGATGCCATGAGGATGAAAATTGCAACACGTGCTCGTGCGCGAGACATGTATATACACATGGCGGTATATTCCAGCAAGGCAAAACGGAGAAAGGTGAAAAGCCGAAGGGGAGAATTGTGTGTTGCGCTCGGGGGACTCAGCGTCGGTTGGAAATTTGTGTGAGTTTTACCTTTCCTTTCCGCGAAAAAAATTAGTCGAAACAAATAACTTGTCGGTGTGCATTACGCGTGCATTTGCTAAATTGAACTCAAAGAGAGTCGAGGCTCCCTGGGGACACCTGTTAGATTAAAAAAAAGAAAACAAAGGAACAGAGAGAAAGAAAGAGATAGTCCATGCTATATGGGCGACAGCCACGAAAATAAAAATTGCCTTACATGAGTGATGCGCGCAGGGTTGCTTCCCGAGCAGCAACCATGTTCGCACTATTCGTGTTACGCACTATGAAATTCCGCCCGCGTATATCGAGAATGCTACTCGTCCACGCTTTACAGCAATTTCCATCTCACCGTGAGGGGAAGTGCTCGCGACTAACCTTGCAACAAGGCACGATGATTAATGGCCGATATGTTACGCCGAAACTTTCCTTAATATTCCGTGCATTCCCGGCGTTTCGATTTACGCGCCGGGCGAGCGAGACTGAGAAAGAGGGAAAGCGGCCGTGCTCCGCGCTCGTTTCTCTTGGTAACCGTTCCTAAATGATTCTTCCGCGTTGAAGGGAACGTTTTGATATTCTGAGTATATGTGCATCCAATAAATTCCCGCGGGTGCTCTTAGCGAGCGAGCGCGCCATTCGTATTACCGATTACGGTTCCGCACGAACACCACGATATTTCGCATTTTTCTCCCGGTATTCCACAGGATAACTACGAAACGAATAGGTGAGTATAGTGACATCCAACATTAGCGACTGGTTCCTATGGTATATTCTCTCCTGTTAATTGTATATTTTCAGAACTCCCATTAATATTCAATATTTCAGCGAGACATGATTCATAATTAGCATGGATATGAGTTTTCGAATAACGTCGTTCACGGTAATTTTAACGCGAGAACTTCGTGAAAACTCAACACTTTCACGAGGAAAACGGCACGTTGGTCTTGAGAATGTTTCTCGGTACTCATTATGACTGCTGATTATTCCGTGAATCGTCAACGTTGCTCCAAAACAGCCGCGTTATGATGCACAAGTATATAAAAACGATGCACCTGATTGGAAATTTTCGATGTTACTATACCTAAGGAATGGGACTGCATTAATGGATTTTTCTGTACACACACATATATACATACAAGAAGCAGACGGCGGGCTTAAATAACTCGTATCCGATGACCCGCTGAGATATCTCACGAGCGAATTTCACGCTGAGCTGCGGATTCGCGAACTTTCAGCTCGAAGAGAAGGAAAATTTTACGAGCCGTGAAAAAGAGAGAGAGAGACAGAGTATATGTGTGTGTGTGTATGTGTGTGTGTGTCGGGGCTAGGCGATAAGCCACGCTTTAATCAAGTCGGAAGTTATCCCGATATCATCGTTATTACACGCCGCCTCGACCACGATAAATTACAGGGGTTGGCGATGCACTCGCTGCCGAACCTCCCTCCGGTCGCGGGACGCGCCTGTTTGCGATCGCCCCGCAGTAACTCTAACGAGACTAACGAGCTCTTGTCTCTGACCATTCATCGATACAACGATACTATCTCGTCCGAAGGAACCCTCGTTAACCCTGAAAACTCGCCTCAACATCACCGTCGCGTAGAGTGTGCTGACGTCGTGTGTCGCTTTAATCCTTTTGGCCATTTGGAGCACTTCCGTCTTTGAGAGCCAGAAAGAGAGAGAGAGAAAGAAAGAGAGAAAGAGAGAGAAGAGGAGAGCGAGCGAACAAACAAACGCCCGTCGAATCCGAGATGATTCCGCATCGAACATCGGTAATAATCCACGGCCTGGAAGACCGAAACAGATGTGAATGAATAACACGAATGAATAATGCCCTGTGCGCGATGGGGGTCTCGCAAAGCTGTTCGACCTGTTCACGAAGAGGAAATAGAAACTCGTGAGATTTACGGAAAACCGTGTGGATTGATCGTTACGCTCTATATTCGTTCCGGCCGAATAAATTAAGCTTCCTCGATACGCCGACGTATGTATGACGTTATCACGAGAGCGAAAGGTTAATTAACTAATATAATTCCGTCGCAATGTGTGCGCATTTGCACGGATATTGTTATATTATTATGTTACGATATGAAACGGGATGGTTCTGCTGTCTTCATATACACACACACACACACACGTACGCACGTATTTATTTCACGTTCATATTAGTGGGGAGCTACAGAGCCGTCAATCACCGGAGCACCGCGGCTGGCAAAAATCATGGTTGTCGAGTATCTTGAGAAAACAACTTCAAAGGGATAATTAGGAAGCGCTTCGATCGAGTGGTCGACGCCAAGAGAGAGAGAGAGAGCTCTCGATTCACTCCGTAATTATCGAGCCGTGCAAACTTCATGAATACATGCAGGTGGTTCAAAGCGGACCGCTTTGTTCCGCAAAGTCGATATAACAGCACAGGAGAAGGAGAGAGCGAAGAGGGAGAAGAAGGTAGAAAGAGTACGCGACTGTGGAACTAACGAGGATCCTTCCTTCCCCGAGCCAAGGGGGTTGCTTGTCTCCCTTCGAATGTCCTTAAATTTCGCTGAAACATTATGGAGATGAAATCTGGGGGCTCAGCTCGGTTCGCCTGGGCTCGACTCAATAACGACCACGACGACGATGATAAATTTAACCGTGTTATTATAACTTATGCATTAGCATACGCAATCGGATCACCATGACCGGCACGAGAATAAGTGTTGTAACGTATCACGTCGCACGCGAATTGAAAGATCCCGACGAGGAAACTCGCGGCGGATTTGCAAAATAAAGTGTGTTGCCTTTTCGCGACTAATCATACACCTGTCTATCCGGTCGCCTTCTGCGCCGAGCTGCGTTTCGAACGGAGAACAGCTTCCAATCGCACAACTTCGGTTTTAACCCTTTCTGACCTGAATTGATTTTTGCAAGTGAAAAGAAATTTTTCGCCCAATTTATTTTGTCTCTGGGCACGGCAAGAGTTACAGCGGGGGAACTTAAAAGTTAATGATTACAATTGGAATCAGTCGGGCAGAAAAGGTTAATTGCGTGAAAATGATCCGATCGAATCCCGATCGATTCGCGTTTCTGCGCTTCAATCGCACAGTTTTCTGAACGAAAAGCTTCCTCGTCTTTTCTCCTCTCTTCCTTATCCTCCACTCCCCGTGAGTGAATTCACTCTCGAGTCACGACGCCATCGTTGGCCACGACCCCCTCGCGAGAAATTCTCCACGTTCGACTCGTCTCTTCGTCTTCCGATTTCCGCTCACGTAGGGATGCCCTGAGACACCGGTGAGGTGGAAGAGAATGGACGATTCAATTGTCGTTGTCGCCGGCGACGGCGGTGACAACGATGACGCGGACGCAGTCGACGAAATATTTATTTCGTGGAAAGCTTTTTGGTCCGTGAAGATTGATAAGCGCGGCTAGATCGAAGAATACCGTCTTGCCGGGTAAATATGCATTTGCGAATATGAGAGCTTGCGAATAGCCTGCAGCTTGCACATAACGCGCGGAGTACGTGAGGCGGTTACGCGCAGAAGTCACTGCCGTTCCGCGGATGATGGAGATGAATAAAAATTGTGTAAAGAATAATATAAAGTCTCTCTGTTTGCATGTATATACGAGAATTTACACGATTGCTACGTGTGTGTGTGTGTGTGTGTCAATATGTGTATTCGCATCTTCTGCTACAGATTTACCGTCTCTCGCAACCGGACAACGGCGACACGGGGTGGATCATCGCATCACTTGTCGTTCCCGTTAGGACCGTGAAGAATGGCATAGAAACGACCACGACGACTTAGTATGTTAATACGAAGCGCGGCTCGTACTTTGGTGGGCTTGGAGGACTATTATTGATGATCCCGGCGCGAAGAAGCGAGCCGTAAAAGCAACGACGAGGAAAGAGAGAGTAGCGGTGTGTAGTCCGTGTGTAAATAGCCGGTGTAACGCGAGGCTGTAATAATCGTCCTGGTTTGTCCCGGCGCGGCGCGCAGTGATCTACGAGGTAATCCGAGAATACCGGCGAACCCGACACCGACGAGCAACGATCGCGATCGTCCGTCGCACATAAATGATTAAACCGAATATCCGCGACGACGATGAGCGTCGCCGAGCGGCGCGATCGTATCGCGATTCACCACTCGCGCGACCGCATCCCGCGGCGGAATCGGATCCGGGCGAGATAACTCGAGTTATTAGATTATCTCAAAGGTGATGCGTCTCGTAAGTTTGAAATTAACTGGCGTTACACGTCACATGTAACCTCTCTCACGCTAACCGTGATATTTCAGACGAACATTTCAGCGATGTGACATTATTCTTTTCGGGAATGACAGAACGAAGTCGAGGAAATTTTTTGAAAACTTCTCGGAGATCTTGATATTCCCCGAAATTCGTTTTTAGGATTTTTCACGGCTGTTTAACGCGCGCGTTTTTACTCGGTGAGATTCACGCGTTAACTGTGATATTTCAAATTAATATTTTGGTGTAAGATTATTTTCCACGAACAGCAGGCGGAATTTAAGAAAACCGGATAATTTCCGAAAATCGATGCTCCCTTTTCCTTTATTTTTGTAATTTCTATAGTTGTAACGCGTATTCTTTTCATCTGTTATTTTGCGCATTAACTTTGTTATTTTTAAATAAATAATTGCAGTGTGGAATTATTTTTTTTTTTCGCCAATAACATGCGGAATTTAAAAAATTCGAAGAATTTCCGAGAAATTTGTGATGTCCCCTGAAATTCTCGTCATCGTTTTGTAACTTCTACGCGCGGTTGTAACGCGCGTGCTTCTTCCCGGCCGAGTTTCCATATCCATCGCACGAAGACGATCGTTCGCGAGGGGAGTCGCTTTCATTGCAGAAGTCCTGTTTTCACCGTGAAATGGAGCGTTCGAGTAGACGTGCGCGCGATTGAACGCGATTGCAGCTGGTTACACGGACGATAATCGTGAGGGTTCCTCTATCTACTCGGGCATTTTCGACAAGGAGCCGCTCCGTCAGCTGACCCGTGTGCAACATGTTCGGGACGAAATTGCGCACGTGGATGGAGGCACACATCGTGCGATCGAAAAAAAAGAAGGACCGGAAGAAGGGCGACAAGGGATTCGATTCGAACTGCAACTCCCCCAGGAGCCACAGCGCCAACAGATCGCCCGCTTTGCACCAGGTGAGTGAGTTAATCTCAACCTCTCTCTCTCTCTCTCTCTCTCTCTCTCTCGGTACTTTGTCGAGTGAATCTAAGATGAATTGTTTCATATCTCTTATGTTATGTAATTTATCGTGTGCCACTTAGCAAGCTCATTCAAACGTCAAACATAGCTTTTGGCAAAATCTATTAATTATCGTAATATCGATTATATACATTAAAATTTAAATAAATTAAGATCTGATAGATTCGAATGGATTCAGATAGAAAATCTTAATATCTATGTATTAAGATCTAAAATTTGACATAAAGATACAATAAAAATGTAACGATTTGCAACTTGTGTAGCGTTCGCGATACTCAACGCAAATCACATCGAAGTTAAATTACAATTTATCGACGAGACGTAATTTTCCCGACGGGGTTCGGGGGTGGGGGGGATTTCGGAATGTCCGTTCTAGCTTCAACGAGCTTCCGCTTTAACAGTTTCACATTGTGTGTAACATTGTTTCACGTCGATGCAGCGCTGATTGCTCCACTCGCGATCGCCCGTTGTGGCGCAACGCTGCAGTCTCTCTCTCTTTCTCTCTCTCGAAAGGTGCACGTTCGTCGGATTCGTCGTCATTATCGGCAAACTAGTTCACGAAATGCTTTTCCTATTTTCCTACTACTTGCTGGCGTTTGCTCGTTACGCCTGTCCATTTCTCCGCTAACAGACCCTTACGTCGGCGCTTTCCGTAATAAGGGCAAGGCGGAGTACGTCGACGGTTATCGTTAAGGCGGCTGGAAAAAGGGTTTGGGTATTCTTTTCCCGACACACCGGCGGGCGACTCGCCCTCGTTCTCTCGCGCCGTCCGTTGCAGATTGCGAGGTCGCGGCAGTCTTCGGGCTTTCATACAGTTATCCGTCCGACGTTCATCTCGTCGTAACGACACGGGGTATTGAATTCATGAATTCGCGTTACACAAGTCCTGTTTTGAATGTCACGAACGTACCGTCGCGACATCCTTCGAATTATTGCACACGGGAACTCCGAAGAGTCTCTGCGTGTAGAAGAAAGGAAACTCCAACGAACAGTTATTTAATGCAGCTGTTCTTTCCCTAATTCAGCTTTCTTCTTTCTTGCGTGCGTGTTTAGCATGTGCCTTTACAAATCCTTAATCGTCTTCTGATAAGAACAGCCGTCACTTCGTGACGCAAGTACCAATATTTATTATAAAGAATTGCTATATAAAATTCGCTCCAATTTATTTATAACGATCATGAGGGATCGCTGAGGCATATCCGTAAGATAATACAATATAAGTAGCTGTCTTAAATAAGCGAGCTACGTTTCCGTTAAGCGTATTAAGCAGATATCTCGATTATTTTCATATCGACTTAAGACACGAGCGCGTTTCAAGAAGGTGTTATTTCTTTATTAATTGAAGTCGGAATAAAAAATATATACGCAAAAGTGTGAAATTGTTGGCGCGCATTAAGTCTCGATCACCTTGTCCGCAGGTACACCCGGTGGATTCACCGTCGAAGAACGTGGACGGTATCCGATTGCACGGGGGTGGCTACGGTGCGACAGTGACGACGTCGTCCGGCACGTCCGGCGGTACCGGAAGCGTAAGCCTCTCTTCGCCGGAGAGCGCGTACTCGACCGGTTACTCGACCGACGGCACATCGCCCGGCACCAGCTTCCCGCCAGAGTACTACATCAACATCAGAACCGGCACTCACTACTTCCAAAGTAGTAGTGGCGGTAGCGGCAGCGGGAATAACAACAATAACAACAACAACAATAACAACAACAGCAGCGGCGTCGGTAGCAAAGCGAGGTTGTTGAAGAGGGTGCCGGGGGACGTCGGGGACCCGTCGACTGTCGCACCGGGAAATGGAAGAATCGACGGCAAGGTGCAGTCCGCAAGCACGACGAGCATGACCAGGGACAACGGCCAGCCGGAAGCACAGACGAGCAGCCCTCATAAGGCAAGTGTGCATGCGTTTTCTAAGCTGAAATAAAAGCCGTAGTAGACGATGGTGGTTTGCAGCCGCAAACTTGCGTATTTTTTTTCTCTCTTTTTTCTTTTTTCCCGAAATAATTTTTACCGACCATTGTCCGTGTGAAATAATTTTTACCGACCATTGAGCCGTGTGAATTCAGGCTTGGCGATTCCATCGCTTTTATTTAACTCTGTTACAAATTAACGTTTATTTATTACGTAGGTAGTGAAATGAATGTGCAGAAACGTAATTTTGCTTGATAAATGCTAAATTCATGAGCGACTTCATTGAAAGTACGAAAATACAATAATAGATAATATATTCTTAAGGTAGTGATATGCTGTTCACAATGTTAGCCAGAATATATGATAACACGATATCACGAGATTCGTTTCTTTTGCAGAAAGGGGAAAACTTTTTTCTCATGTGTATTCAATATTACGAAAGAAAAAAATACACTAAAATATTTTTGAAAACGAGTAAGTTCGCGCAAAATCATCGGGACATCACGGGATATCGCTTAGAAGCGCTTGGAACTTTACGCATCTCACGAATGCCTTTCATTCCCGAAAGATTCCTATTTAGCATCTTGTCCGAGACTCGCGCTGAATGGAGCCGCGGAATTTTTTTTCAGAAGCCCCGATATAACGTATTCACAGAGGAGCGGGGCGGCCGTTCACGCAACCGTGCGTCCCGTCAAACGCGCTTCGCGCGCTCCTTTCAGCTTTTCAAGCTCCAAATAGTTTATAGACCGAAATGCGCTATGAATTTCACCGCGCGAAATTACCGTTTCTCGCTCAAACACACCCCTGCGTACGGAGTCTTGAGGGTGCGTTTGTTCACCGAGTCGAGAGTCTTTGAAGCCGTGAGAGTTCAACGGCATCCGGCCTCTTTCGTCTAGCAGGAAGTATATAATCCGGAACGGCGTTTATCGCCGCTCGTATATACATACACGAGCGGGGAGAGCAAGTGGAGGAGGGAGAAGAGAGGGGGAGAAGCGCGTACACTTCATAAATCCCTCTTTCGGTGGTGGTTTCCGCCGCGGGCTTCAGCCGAGAAACGATGACTGTGAAGTCACACGGTCTTCCTCGCTTCCTTTATGACGTGCTGTGCGTCGCTGTGTGTCATGGAGGAAAACGTTTCTTGTTGGCGCACATTGTTGCGCTTTTTCGAAAAAAATACGCGCTACTTTCTCTCTCTCTCTCTCTCTTTCTCTCTCTCTCTCTCTCAGCGATGGAAATTCCGGAAACATTACTCCGTTTTTAGCTCGTACTTCTCATCGCGCTCTGTCGTTTGTTTTTCCCTGTCTCTGCTTTCTTTTTTTCTTTGCGAGATCTCACGACTCACGACGTGAAAAGAAAGGAAAAAAGAGAAAAATGCATTATTGTCGTGGAACGTTGCGCCCGGATATCAGGCTTTAAATGGGCAGTAGCAGTGAGAAATGAATCCTTCGTCCTCTGAGCCGTGATCGATTGCGCGTTACACACACACACACACACACACACACACACACACACAAATATATATATATATATATATTGCCGTCGTCGGAGAACCTCGTTTCGATATAATGGAAAGAAACGATCGAGAGTTTGCGATTTAGATTGACGATAAAGCTCGGAAATACACGGGGACAGAGTGTGACGAATACAAAGAGCCCTTTGAAGAGGGCGGCTGAATGAATTTTCGAGCGGAGACGAGCTCTCCTCGATGGAAAAACGCGAGAGAGAGAACTTCCGGACACCATTTGCAGAAATAAAGACGAATTGACTCGCGAATTAATGCGGGTTAACACCGCGTGTGGGCGCGAGATGGATAATTGTGTTTCCGATATATGTCCCCTCGATTTGAAGCGCGACGCAAATTAAATTTTCAAGGTTTTCCGCGGTAACTGCAGGGCGATAATAGCCGCGTCACATGCTTTTTCGATCAATGAGTCGCCGATATCGCTCGATTTCGGCCAATTATCGAGCGCTATAAAATATACATTATCGCATCGAGAGGAAAAACTGCTGACAGTTTTCGCCATGATTAATTGAAACCTATCTAGGAATGACTTTATTAAGATCAGAAGAAAGAGAGTGATTTAAAGTAAAAAACATTTTAGATAACAATGATATATTCGGTGATATATTTGTTAATAATGTAACGAAATTTCTGATTTTCTCGTTGAATTTAGTAATGCCTGTTATATTTTGTCTGCAATATTCGGATAAAAAAATTGAACGTATCGAAACGTATAAGATGAATATACCGGTTAACGACAATTTGTCTCAATTTGCGACAACCGTTTATATCCGTTTTTCTCGACACGATCTCTTTTTTTTTTCCCGTCGCCTTCTAAATATCTGCCTCACGTTGATTCTGCAGAGCGTGGAAATGAATCATGCTCCGAGACAGCAGCAACAGCAGCAGCAACAACAGCAGCAGCAACAACACCAATCGAGGCAGCAAGAAAGCTCACATCGAAGGACCGAGTCGTATTCCGCTGATTCGTCGAGGAACAACCTGCCCGTGCCGTCGTCGATACCGCCACCGTTGGTTTCGCCTCCGGTGCAGTCGCCCCGCGAGCGATCCCGCATCCGGACGAACCCGTGGCTATCGGCGAATTCCTCCGGCTCCAGCACGAATGGCCTGAAGTCGCGGCTCGCCTTGGACGAAAGCAGCAGCAGTTCTGGTCTGAAGCTCACCGAGTCGTCCGGCAGCGCTAGCGACGTCAACCTCAATCTGAATGGCAGGGAGCTCCAAGGCAGGAAGGAGCATCGTCAGGAGAGTCTGAGCGCAGGTCGAAGCCCGTGAGTATCTGTTTCGAACGTGCAAAACGCTCGCCTCGGCTCGTTAGTTCGTTAATGCGACACATATCGAGCTTCAAAGTGTATCCGATCTTTTTCTAAACGCCGAAATGCGGGCGAGATCTATCAATGTTGAGTCTCTCAGTCTCTTCTGTTGAAATTCGTGAATTATTTCCCATTGAATTGCGCACAATGCTATCACCTATGCCAAAAGCGTCGGCCGGAGCGTGGCTAGTCGTCAAGGAGGGGATCACCGCGTCTGAATTTCGCTATTTCTTAACGGTTCGAATTGCTGGTGCACGATCATGATAGACATCTCGAACGTTCCTTTACGGTAGTTCCAACTGCGTTACGCTCTTCCGAAACCCAGTCCAAAAATCCCCATGATGCTTTAATATTTTGATCGATGAATTGATTGAATTCCATCCGTAATTTATTTATACGCGACTATGCCGATCAGTCATCACGCGTTGCATCTCGCGCAGGATCAACCAAAACTGGAGGATCACCTCGGGTATGGACCTCCGACCGAAGATACCTCTGGCGCTGCAGCGACGCGCTAGCAGCAGCAGCTCCTCGGCGTCCTCGGTGACGCGCAGCGTGCGCTCGTCCGAGGACGACATCACGCTCAACGAGATGATGGGTAAATTCGACGAGAGCTACGTGTACGAGAAGGAGACGGACATCCTGTCAGACAGCGACCCGACTGACTGCGAGGACTACATAGACTCGTTATCGGATATCGACACCGGCCAGGATGGCGGCGACGAGAACGACCCGTTCGAGAACGACGAGCTCGACTACATCGACAACGGCTCCTTCCTCGATTTGGACAGCCTCGAGTGCGACGGCCACTTACCGAACACGGGTCACTGCACTTACTTCGCGTTCACCGGCGAGCTCAGCCGACGCGGCACCAGGCTGCGCGAGTCCTTCCTCAAGCGCAGAACCAAGGACGACCTGGTTTCTCAGAGGTGAGCCTCGCGCAATCCCCGTAGATCTCGCCGATTTCACGGATCACGTAGTTCTCCCGTAGTCTCCTTTGTCTCTCCGCCTCCGATTCAGATACTCAGATCACGTTTCTTGTTGCTGTTGCCACACTATCGCGCTGAAAGCAGAAGCGCGAGCGCGAGGAACAGCGCGAAGAGGCAGAGCACACGACACAAGAAGGCCGACGACTGCAGCAAGCAGAGTGAGAAACGCAAGAAGAGGATGTCGCAGCGTCGCAAGGCGAATCTGGATAGATGCGACGACGAGACGGCGAATCTAAACCGCGTGCTGGTCGAGAGGATGCTGCTGAAGAACTCGGGCTTCAATCAGGGTAGCAGGAGCGTGGGCGGTACGCCGATGTGCCTGCGACGCAGGAAACACGACGTTAACAAGAATCTCTCGCCGATGAGGCTGAACGGCAACCCGTCGGCCATCAGGCCCGCCGTGATCGAGAACGAGGTCGTGAAGAGACGATCGAACTCGGTGAGAATCTAAATCCGACTAATAATATTGTACACACACACGCACGTACGCACATGCACACACACATATTTTCTACTTCTTTTTTGTTTCCTTTATTTATTTTACCGGCAAACAGCGTGCGCCTCTTATGCTTTTGTTCTTTATAATATTTGAAGCATGCACTATATTAGCTGTTTTCTACACATTTTCTACACATTCAACTTTTAAAATTAATCTTAAGAATATTTAATTATTAATTTATTTTTATATATATTTACACGCATCAACAATTGACAAATATAACAAGCGGCGAGCGTTTTATGCTCGCCTGTCATGTCTTTTCCTCTATACTATTACAAACACACTTTATTTATTTATGAGCGATTCAATTACGATTGAGTTATTAAAAATACAGTACATAAACGCAGACTTGGATAATAACTAGTTAATTAGTTAAGAATTAAGTTAAAAAGTTAAAAAAGCTATTAACTTTTTATTCAACTTGGCTCATTTTAAATGAATCAACTTTTTAGATGAATTAACTCAAATTAGTTATTTTTAAAAATGCATAAAATTTCATTTATCAATTTTTTCTTATATAAGTTAAAGTAATTCATCTATATTAATATTATTGTTCTTAGGTTGTTTACAATATAGAATAAAAAAAATAAAAAATAACGCCAATTTTTTTCGTCTCTCTGAACGCAAGTATTCTTTTTTTCTAGGATAAAATCTTAAACACAAAAACAATTAAAAATTGTCTTATTGTCCCAAGTTTCCAGAGGGGCATAGGAATTAACACCGTTCCTTTTTAGGTGAGCTACGTGAACGGCAACATCGTAAGACGCCACGTAGCCGGCAACACGTACATGACCACGTTCGCTTCGGAGATCGCGCTGATCGAGGCGGACAAGGAGGCCGACCGCAAGTACCGCGAGCTCATCCTCGAGGCGGAGAACATACTGGTGAGTATGCAGAAGTATCAGAACCCGTCGCCCTGCGTGCCGTCGCCGTCGCGAAAGCTGCACAACGGCCTCGCGAACAAGCGGGTCGAGCTGATCAAGAATACCGAGCTGAACATCGAGCTGGCGCTGTCCAAGAGCCGCAATTCCCAGCCGGAGTTGCAGAGCGGCAGCATTCGGGATCTGGAGCACACCAGTCCCAAGCGACAGTTCGCACAGCCGTGCTCGCCGATTCACCGCTTTATGGAGAGGAACTCACCGGTCGGAGTTGGTTTCCCGCTGAAAGAACCGTCGGTCTATCGACAGGAGTTGTCCAAATGTTATCCGGACTCGCCGGTCATTTCGCGACGGACACCTCAGAGCTCGCCCAGCAGAAGCCTGATGCACCAGCAGGTGTATCGGGTGCGTAACGACACCGAATCGGAAGCCATGAAAGAGTGCAACAGGCCCCCCCGGGTCACCCTGAACTGCAATGGCGGACTGAGGTCGGACGCGACGTCCGATGCGAGGAGTTCCTTCAGTAGCAAAACGCACGTCGCGATGCCGCATGGCTCTTTCAGCCATGGCGGCAGGAAGGACTTTCGCGCCGGTAGAGCACCGACCAAAGAGGAGGGAGTGACGTCCAGCTCGTCGGACTCCGAGGAGAAATGCGACGTGAGGCGAAGGGCCCCTTTGATGACCTTCCGGTTGGTAGCTATTTAATAAGCTCTTAGATGGTGTGATTTGAAATTAATTGATAGCTCGATGAGAAAAGAATCGAGTTAGATTGATTTTTTTTTGGAATATATAAAAGAAGTTTGTATTCTGGAACGTTTATTTGGAAGGTTTATCTTATTATGGAATTGCCGTTAATTTATAATTACTGTTTTACGTCTTTATGTATTAATCCTCCTCCGCACACAATACATTTTTTCATTTGTTTTTTTTTGTGCAAAATATAAAAAAACGGACGTAACTCTTACATTTTGCGCGATATCGTCACAATTTTTTGTATGTACCTCCTAATTATATAATCTTTTTTGGAAAGGAAATAATTAAAATAATTAACGTTCTTTAGTTTTGATAACTGAGAATAGACGTGTGAAAAGTAAAAGTGCAAAAAGTTAATTTTTTTTCCAGAAGAAAAAACTGTTTCAATATATCGTATGACGTGAAGATCGTATTTGATATCGTATAATGTAATGAATGTAAATGTGATCAATAATAAACAGTGTCGACGAACAGCCAAGTACAATATTGATGTGACGTTAACCACGAATACGTGTAGTTGCTGAGCATTTGTGACGGGAAACATGTCTTTATAGATCAGTTGACATGGGTCCTATTAAAGAAGGCTCCTCCTATTGTCCTCAAAGCGAGCCGGTGAAAAGAAAGGTGTACGCCGGAAGTGCGACGTACGGCAGAATACAGAAGACTCTGGGCGAGCACGTTATGCTGAGGAATTCCGACGGCGATACAGCAACCGATGATACCGGTGAGTAATCCTTATCCCAGCCTTTCCTGCAATATTCAAAAAACTTCCTCTCGCTAACAACAGTGATGATATATATGATCGGTGACCACACATCGGTCATTTCATTCTCCGAGTGAGGCGGATCGCTTTCTCGCGTTAATCTTTAATCGTCTAAAGCGACATTCGGAGTTAATCTAAATTTAATCAAAATATGAGCAAATCACTGCGGAAACTTATACGTTGATAGATTTAGATTAACCGGATGTCACTGGAGATTAAACTTTTTAAGCTATATTGGTTACAAAGAGCTCCAACAGCGCCTTTCGCTCCCACTTATAGTATTTCGGGTTGCATCGTATCTGCTTATTTTTACATTGTGACTGATCGGTTTTAAGGAACATCGGCGACTCAGTCACATTAAATGCAACAGTAACACACACAATGAATGCGTATATGTGCGCTATTACACGTCTACCACGGTGGTTCACGCCCTCGGCAGTATCTAACACGCGAGCTTTAATCGATCCGCCACAGACTATTCCATTAATATGTATTGTTATCGCAGATGACTCGAGAAGGTCCCTGAAGGAGAAGGTGGCACAATTGCGGCAAGAGCGACTGGCGGTCGAGGCTAACGCGAACAACGGCCAGGACTCGCAATACTTCCAGCATCAACTGTCGCAATTACGACGGCAGATGCTGATGCAGACGATCGAGGGCCTGAAGCGCAGCCTCGAGGACCAGTCGGCTACCTTGAAGCAGACCTGCCTGGAGCCGGTGCTGAATGACGAGCTACCTTGAAGTGGCTGTCCGGCGTGGCTTGCTGCGCGATTGCGACTAACAAATTCCGGCGACGCCGCTCCTTCCCGCTTGAATGCTCCTATCCTGGGCACAGAATCGAATCCTGTCTTCGGCGAGAATGCAGGATTGGTCGAGCTGCCGGTGTGCTGCCGGCAGTATTGATTAAACGCGGCGTCGTTCCTCTATCTGTGCACGTCGGCTGCTCTCGCGGTGTAATTCTTCCACAGGCTCGGCTGAGCGCCGGCGCGCGTATCAAATTTCTATTTTTCTGTCCGTTTATGTAGAGAAGGATAAAAGGCAGGTGTGAAGAAAGAAAGAGAGAGAGAGAGAGAGAGAGAGAGAGAGTCGAAATTAAGAGTGTCACGTATCCTCACTGGGCATTGTTCTACGCTATGTTGTTCGTTCCGAACGCGAATAATAATAATGACCGTTTCTCACGAATGATTTCGTCGTTTCTCGTCGCTTGATTTGCAACTGCGCGCACAGACAGACCGACTTCCGTTGTCGTTAGATAATTAGCTCTCGACCTGTCATCATCGTCGTCGTCGCCGCAATTTTCCCGCTCCGAAATTTCTCCCCGAAACGACGACGGACGGGGGACTTCTACGGATCGTCGGATGATCATTCCGGAACGCTAACGCAAAATTATTACATAGTTAACATTACCGAGTAATATGCTGTAACGATAGTTAATATTATTATCGTTATATATTGAGTTGTCCGAGAAATTCGTGTGAGTTTCTTGATTTCAAAATGAAGCGTAATTTTGGAATACTAAATGGAAATTTGATTCAACGAAGTATCCATCATTTGCACTATTTTAGCCCATCTTTCAACCAACTGTAGGATTTCGATCTTCAAAGAACTTGGCTGGTTCAGAGGCAAATCATCCGCCTCGGCTTTTTTTACTACCTACAAACGGTCGAATGTTTTACCGTTCAAAGAATTTTGTAAAGACCGGAGTCCAAGTGATAGATCTTCTGATGGCGTAATGCCCGGCGAATATGGTGAATGCGATAGAACCAGCCGACCTCTTGCAACTTGTTTATGACCAAAGACACGTGAGGTCTGACGTTGCTTTGGTGGAACACAACACTTTTCCTATTTTTTGCAAGTTTTGCAAGTTCTGGCCGCTTCCGTTGGGTGTTTCGGCTCAAATTGTCTAATTGGCTGTAGTCCGAATTTATGGTTTGGTTCAGCGGGAGAAGCTTATGATAAAGAATGTTAATGTAATCCCACTTTTGTCTTATGAACACTTGCTTAAAATGACCGATACTATACTACTTCCCAGAATATTGACTTTTCCTTCTGGACACTCTGTATAAATATAATACTTCTAATCATTTCTGACAGCTTACGCAACGCTTATAGAGACATCTGTCTGAAATTCACACGAACTTTTGGGACAACTCAATATTAAAAGACTACTGTAGTTGACATTTTTTTAAGTAAATAGGGCAAAGTATAATATCGAACGCATTAGCATATAACGAAATGTTACGAGATTCGTAATAGTTACGCGGAGAGGGAAGCAGAAGAGAACAGAAAAGGGAAGAAAAAATAAAGAAGTAGCGCGCGTTAGTTCGAAACTAGAGTTCCCGACGACCCCCCGTTAGCGTTCCGGGACGGAGCTTAGATTAGACCAGAGCTCGGGAATAACGCGAGGCGGAACCTCCCAAAAATCGGCTGGAATGTGCATTGTTTACCGAGCTCTGGACTAGACCTAGATTTGAATATCTAACGGGCCTATTTGCGGGTGTGTTCTCTTTAATATGCTCTAAGAAATCGGGAAATATAGTGCAAAAGTGAGAGAAAATTCAAAAGCACACACGAACTAATAGGTCAGTATCGAAGCAAAAAAAAAGTGTAGTTACTTCACTAGTATCCGTCTAACGAAAGTAGAGGATCACGTCTAGCCTACACGTAGCAGCCCACACAGCGAAATATATCGCAAAAATATCTGGAAGATATCTGAATGTCACGATATCACCGAGATATCTGAAAGATATCTATAAGATTTCAATATCGGCTATAGTCGTGTGCAAATATATTGCAGAGATATCTTTTGCAAAGAAAAATGTGATATCGAGTAATGATGTCCTGCAAATATTCTCCGTAGAGAATATCTGAAGGTAAGATATCTTTAGGTACAACTTAAAATTGCAGGCATAAAGATATCTGATTATATCATCAGATATATATTTTGCTGTGTGGGAAATAGATGGATACCAAACGTATGTAATCGACTTAGGCTGTAGGAAAGATGTCAAACAATATGTGCCCAATGAATACGGCCCAGCCCCCCTTCCCCTTCGCCCCGATTGAAGCGATCGCAGAAGGATGGCGTTGCTCGACGATAGCTTAAACTCGAACTTGTGCGATCTATTGACCGTGCTTGAGCCTCATGAAGAGACGCGAAATTCCCATTTGTAAGCTTCTCAAGCGAGATGTGCGTTTAATCGCCCCTATGATGAATATATATATATATATATATATATACACATATATATATATATATATATATATATATATTGTATAACTAATTTTTAATAAGTATTTCATAACAATGAGGATTGGGGCCCAAAGAGTAACACATAGAGGCGAACGAGCCGCGCAGGTGTACATATTGTATCACACATGCCTTACCTTTCCTAGATAGAGAGTTATACGATTTTCAGCCTTACGTATATACGTATATAAGGTCGAAAATCGCATACGTAACTCTAGTTATAACATGTGAGATGCAGTTATGATACAGTGATGCGGTTGATACATTGTGTGCACATGAGAGAAATGAAATAAGTGTCAGGACGAAATGGATGAGAGAAGATCCGACGCGTTTGAGGTCGGAACACGAGTCAGCGCTGTCCTTTTCCAGAAGACGCTTCCTCCAACTAGATCTGCCGCAAAGTACGTAGTATGTACGGCGCGTATGTACCTTCCACCTTGCAATCGCGGATTGGGCGTGGTTACACAAAAGAGGCATTCGGGGCAAAATGAGGTTCTTCCTATTCCGAGAAACTATACTTTTGCTCCCCTCCTCCTTTTCCTTCTCGTTCCACGTCGCCTCCCGCGCCCAAATCCGCGTACAGCATTTGTAAACGTCATCTTCCGTCTTGAATGATGTATCGGTCTCCGAGCGAGTCTCTCTCATTGAATTGCTTGTCACACACGCGAAACGAGGATCGTTTCTCGCCCTAGTGAACACCAACTAACAGTGACATCGATCAAGTTACATCAACGTTACAATTTCCCACTCAACAATATGCGGTATAACATATGCTGTATGTAACAGCAACATTGTGGAGTGAGAAATTATAACATTGATATAATATCACTGTTAGTTGGTGTCCTACTGTGACAGTGGTCGCGTCTCCTTTGCGAGACGAAAGACATAAGGACATCCGTGAAAAAGAAACCAGCTAGCACACACGTATTATTTGTAATGTTCCTATTTCTACGCGAATATTTGTAACCCTCGGAAGAAACGAGATCATCTTCTTCCTCTCTCCCACGATAAAAACGATCATCCCTATCACCTCTGTCTCCGATAGACTAAGCAGCCTCCGGATTAGCATACCAAAGAGACGATAGCTTAGCTAGATAGTAGATTAGAACCGTTGTTTAACCGATCAAAAAGAAAAAAAAAGAAAAAACACTGATACGTATTCGTAATATTAGAGCGCAGACCTCGGCGAGAAATGCAAACTTCCTGGCGAATTCTGGAACGTGCGCTCACTTTCCTCTCCTTGTCGCCCGCGACACAACAAGCGACGAGCGCTTAACTGAGGCGACGTGTCCTTGTCGGGAATTGTCAAACTATAAATATAATCAGATCGGGCCCTCTTCCATATCAAAAAAATAAGCAACTCGCGTCGAACTGATACGCAATGGAATTGAGGAGATGTATATAACATAGGATTAGATGTATAACGTTTGTTCGCGTAATCGTATCGCTTCATTGCCCGTCGTTGATGTGGCGAAAGGTCCTGCCTCAATCTATTCGTGATTTGGCCGTTCCCGATGCGGAGCGTCGTGAGCTTCAGTTACCGCCTTGGACGCTATGTCGTGGATAGCGAAGAGGAGAAAGAGGACGTATCCGAAATTTGGCAGAAAGTTGCATCTCTCGCCGAGACCTGTATTAGAGGTCATCATACGATTAGAGCATTCTTAGAGCCTCAATTTGCTGGTAGAATAATTGTTCGGGTTACGTCGAGCGGATTACAAATCTTCCATACGTGAGCCAGAGTCAAGCGCTTCATTCCAGTGTTCGCGGCGTGTTTTTGCACGTGTCTCCTATCTTTCTTCCTTTCGAGCGAGGTTTATTTTTTCTTCTCTCTCTCGACCGATTGGAATACACACGGTTGATCCTTGTTTTCGACTTAAGAGTTAAGTTTGTTCGTGAAAAATTTGCAAATCTTTATTCGATTGCGTTACTTTATTTGTTGAACTTGTCAGCTCGTGATATTTCTGACTCTGGTCATCATCGATACGATACTTTCGGTCATAGTGATATTTTTGTGAGAATAGACTGATAGCGTTATCGATTGTTGGATTAAAAAAAAAGGAAAAAGGAAGTTCTTTAGTGGTTACTTACTTACATGTGATTTATATGTTAAAAAAAAAAGAAAGAAACGAAGAAGAGAGATTCTTCAAGAACAGCAGATTGTAATACGCAGACATGATATATTTATTTGTGTTAGATACTAGGGAAGCATAGTAAGTGAAAGCATTAGGCGAAAATATAGCGGCAGTAGAATTAGTGCATTAGGCAGTCGTCGGGTAAAATCGAAGTTATGTTTGTTCTCCCGTCCTCTTTTGTTTTTTTTTTTTTTTCAAGTCACGAATAGATTTGTGATTTGTCCGCACCTTTCGTACACGTCTTTCTCTGTCGTCTGTTCATCTCTCAAGAAGGAAAAAAATTGTGATTTTCGTTTTCGATAATAGCTTGTGCGGAGACTGACTGCGAGGGTTACTTCGATCGTGATCGGAAAGTCTTCGGCGGTAACGCGGAACTAACTGTCGTTAACGTGCGCTATCGTTGTTCCCCCGAGAATTTTATACTTGATATAACTGTATATAACATAATTTTTTAATCTCTTCCCTACCCCGTTTCCTTCCTCCATGAGATACTTTAATTTTGTAATCGTAAGGCGAATTTATAGTTGTTCTCGTTTTAAGTTCGATAATGATCTTTTTTGTTTTCTTCTTATGCAATCGCATCGACACATTCCAGGTAGAGCACCAAGAGGAGAGCGCGGTTTAGGTTTTCTCGGAGCGCGTCGGAAGTGGAGCAGTTGTGTCTGGATCGATCTTGCGGTCGGTCGTTGATGCGAGGACCGTCGGCACGATTTTTCAGCCATGCCCTTGCCCGCAAAAGCGACACTAGTCACTCGGTTATTTACGCAGGGTATATATAAATTTAAATCGGCAAACTCCGAATGTGCTTGGAGGGGAAAGCGTAATTATTGTTATCGCAAACGATATTTCTTGTGTACGGAGCCATTTACGAAATAAAATGGTTTTTTTATATGATTATGAATAAATTATATTATGTCGTTGGATCGATTCTAGTTACTCTCTACCTAGACGAAGCAGTGTGTATCTCTCGTTCTCTTTATCGCGACGAGTCATTCTATTCAGGTAAGAATGATTTTTTAGTTTTACGAAAAAATAGTTATAATCCACACGGCACGTTTTATCCTAAGAATATCCCAAGTAGTCCCAGATTCTCAATTGTGATCCCACAGATGGTTCTGGCGAGCTTTTCGAAGAAAACCAACTTGAATTTATAAATAAAACACTGGAACTCGACTTGAATTTCCCGCTAGTACACATTGGCGCTATTTACCTGTCCGATAATTGGTGCATAGGGAATTTTCTCTCGGTCATTGTCATACGACAAGATCATGCGAGAAATGGAACATATCTATATCCTGAATGCACCTATCGATTCCACGACCGAAAATGCCAAAATGCGGAACTAGACAACGCTGTCAAATATCTCGATTGCAAATTTTCCTATAGAAGTGACAAGCACGCGAAAAAATTGCAATGCACATTGATAATAATACACTTTACTTATGCTCATTTTATATACAGACGAATTTAATATATATTTTTCGCGGTACTATTTCATCAGTATCAAAATATAGTTAACTTGGCTTTGTCCTTCCTTTGATTTTGTTCGGCAATAATATTTCTCTCCGAGGTTCGCAAGTTATTCAGCTCTTTTTGTTTCTCGTTATATTTCATCACGATATTATTATAAAGCGCGCTACCTTTAGTATGCCTCGCCATTGATTCTTTCAACTTCGACGATTCCTTTTCCAGTCGACTTATGTCCTCTCCAACTCGAAAGCTGGCCACATTTAAATTATAATTAGATTCTATCCTCAGTTTATCTTTACTTCTTGAACTACCAGCCGCGTTATCGTCTTTAGCTGCAAAATGATAATTACATTTAACTGTGACGTGTTCCTGTTGATAACTATTATTTAAAAAAAATGTTATATCACTTCACTCTGTAATTATATTTCTTACGTTTATCGCCTAAAGTTTTGTTTATGAAGTTAAACACATTGCTGTTCTCTCTTTCCTTCTCTTTCTGATACTGCCTTTCCCTCTGTTGCTCCGACTTTTGTTGTTGCTTGCGCATCTTGCGCTCCACGGAGAACAAATCTTTGTCGCCACCGGCAAATTCACGCAATTCCATGCAGTGATCTGAAAAGACGCGAGTAACTGTTAATACACGGCCATTTAGATTCTTTAGATTTACTTCAAATTCAGAAAGGACGAACCTAACGATTTGCCCGCTGGCAATACTGTCGCTTCGACAGGTTGTATCCTACCATCACCCCGTTTTCCAAGACCGGTGCCAATCACGTACCCCATTTGCATCATTAATTTGCTGCCAATGCCGCGTGTATAACGCTCCCAATTTCCCAGAGGTTCGTCGGATTGTAACGTCAAGAGAGATTTGTGAACCAATTGCACGTCCGAATGTGAATTGTGCGGTGAATTTGATCCAGAGTCACTTCCGTCACTATCATCGGATGTGTCCGACATTTCTAAATCCGCGTCGCCTGCAAACGCAATAAATATTTATTTAGATCTCACATAACTGCATAATTTTTAGCATGCATTACCAAGTGGCAGAAGATCTTGTAAACTCGCTTCTATAATTTCACCGCTTGCTTCAAACTTGACTCGGTATTCACCCCCGTCCTTTTCAGGCAGTTTCAAAACAACGGATCTACACCACGTGTTATTTTTCTGTTTAGTTAATACTCGGCTACCCATCTTGAGGTTACGAAAATCAGGATCTCTGTGAATTATAAGAAATACCGAGAGTGAATTCCGAACATTCGCAAGTCTTTCGTATTGAGAAACGACGTACTTGTACTCTTGCAGGCTCGAGAATGCCACGATTTCACCATGAGAGTAATGACAATTCTCATCGGAAAACTTGCAACTTCCATCAAGAAAATACGGACATGGGATCATTTTCTTGTGCGTTGGATTGAGAAAGAAAACCTGGATCTAATGGACAATTAAGGCAGTCAAGGGAGAAAGAGAATATACAAAAAAAAAAAACATTGATTATATAAGGTATTCTACGCCGACTGCTGAGTATTAAAATGGCAGATAATAAATGACAAATTGAAAAGTCCTTTGCTACCTTTTAATATGAACAATACTTAATAAATTATTAAGTTTGATACTCAGTATGTCTTAATTGGCAAAGCACAAAAAGCTTCTATGTCACAATGGGCTTTACCATCCACTAATTAGAATAGTTACAATAGAAGTTAGTTCTTTCAACTTGTTCTTTTCTAACTAGCTTTATTAACTTGTTAGTTATTGCTCATATTAAAAAATGGCAAAGGATTCTTTTGACTCTTATTATCTAATATTTCAATAATTAGTGTAGAATATCCTGTATGTTATTGATGATATCATCAATTTACCTTAATATCATGGATATCTTTGATCTCTTCATTATTGTTTCTATGAACAGAACATACCATAGCATTATGGTAACCAGTGCCACCCCAACTATTGCTGTAAGGGGCCTTGCATTTCATTCCTTCTAGCTCCTTTAATTCATCCTACAAGATCAACTTACACCATATAATTATATCATTGTGATCACGTAAAAAATAGTCGTATACTGACTTCAATATCACCAATGGTTGTTCCAGTCCTACTACTCTGCTCTGTACTTTCCTCATCATCCGAAGATTCCTCCAATTCTGCCTAACAGATTCAAACAATCCTTAATAAAATATCTCAGCTGCTTTCGTTTTATGATTTTACATACCAAACATATGTTATAATTCTTCTAAATTACATAAATACGCTGCAACAGACTTTCGTGTGAAATAGTGCTTCATATTTTTCAACAGTAGCGCACGATAATTTCAGTCAAATTACAATTAACCATGAAGAAGATGAAAACAAAAGTGCGTCAGACAAATCATTTTAACTGAAACCAACCTTGAACAAAGCATATTCCTTATCCAGTGGATCCTGTATCTTGCTATTAGAATCTTCATCTTCATCTTTGCTTTCTATGTTATTTCTTTCAAGGCTTTGCAAACTTTCTTTTGTTAAAGAGATCAATTCTTCAATGTCAGACTTCAGGCTAAGCAAGTTGTCTCTGTTAGGACCTATCGGTGTTGAAGACAGCGTCGTATCCACCTGTGACAACTGCACGTATGCAATTGCAAATGTAAATAAGCAATTTATACTAACAAAACGCAATATATTATAAACATAATGCATTGAAATAATAATGTTTCATATACTTGAACTTCATATTGCTCGATGGCTTCTTTTAAACTTTTCGCATCTGTCATATCGTAGCTGTTATTCAGTGTAAAACGAGTAAGAAGAATATATTAAATGCTCTTTTACTATTTTCACAGGATTAAACGCTCATGTAACAATTCGATCCTTCTTTCGTTTCCTCAAAATAGAGTTCAAATAAATACTTTCGGAAGTCTGAGTAAAGATCATTTATACAATGCGTCGCAAACGCCCTGACGCCAATCGCGAAGGATGGTAACTACTGGTCACAAAGTGTTTTATTTAGGATTACAAAGAAGTGTTTCGATCGCCAGTTGGATTGCGTTCAGGAATACACACTGTGCACACCATTAGGTATTAGAGCCTATATTCTGAGGTGTTTACGACAAATCGTCGGATTTCCAATCCGACTGGGCAGTGGTGTTCAATCAATTCATTTACAAAAATTCCCTAGACCAATCGGATTTTTGTTTGCTGTCTCAGTAGTAATCAGATTTAATTTAATATAATCGAGAGAAGCAAGTCGCTAATTTTGTTTGACTATTATGAATTTTGCAAAATGGTACGTGACCTTTCTGTTCAGTTTCATCTGTTCTATCTGTACACTGCGGGAATCGAGATTAATTTACTCTCTATTTAGATAAAACGGTGCATCTTGTTTTCTCTACTACCGTAACGAGTTATTTTACTCAGGTAGGGGTAATTTTTTTTGTTTTAAAAAAGGATTATATCTTTATTATAAAACAATAATTTCCTCATAATATATATACATTACAAGCTATAATTGCTCTTATATGAGCACGTTCGATTGCTCACACTTATCGAACAAGTGTTTATATTCAGCTGTATCTTTATGTCCATGAATAAAACACGAATATAAAATACAGTTTCCCTTTTGAGTTACCAGATCGAAATTCTTACAGTAGATAAATGGAAAACAATATATATATATATATATATACGAAAATTATATATATATATACGAAAATTATATATATATATATACGAAAATTATATAAACTTCAAAAACTTCACACAGCAGGCCCACTGGTCAGAGGGCTTCTTCACAAAAGTAACAATCATCGTGAATCAGTTGTTGCATAATTCCGGTTAACAAAATATGCATTCTGTAGCAAACATGAAATATTACTACTTGATCCTCTCAAATTTGTGCTTGATCTCATATATCCCTACAGGCTGCATAGACTTGTCGCAATAGTCCTCCCATTCGCCTTCGCTCAAGTCTACATCATTGAACTCCTTGCCGCCCTCTGTCGCCTTGGCCGACCATCCCTCTCTTGCGGAGAAGTCAGATGGTTCTATTCCTCGACAATCAAACGTCACGATCGCTTTGAACTTTCCCTGATCGTCCGAGGTGAAAGATTTGACGGTATCCTCCAGTATCGCCATTGAGTTCTCTCTGGAGCAAAGCTTACATTTGCTCACGAAGTGGTTGACACCGTTACCTCGTTGCACCGGCGTGGACTCGTCCAGGGAGACGTAGTTCCATTTCTCCGATGTCTCGCCGCAGTTGGAACAGGTGAATTTCAGGCACCATCTGAACTCCGGCCCAGCTGGTTTCAGTTCCTCAACATTGTCGAGTCTACAGGTGATCTGCAGCGCTATTTTCACCATTTTTCTTTGCACGACGTCTGTGTCCACTCTGTAATCGTTTGCATCGGGAAATGTCAGTCGACGAACTCATGTCGAGACAGATAGGATGGCAGTTCCTTACTTACATGCGCGCAAGAGACCCGTTCTTGAGTTAATCGAGATCCCGACTCGAATTTGCAAATTTACAGTTTCGTCCAGTGGATGAATTCTTACGCAGTCAATATTATCATGGTTATCACGGCAAGCGGGCGTTCAATCACTTTCCGGCTGATAAGCTGAAAGTAAACAAACTCGACGACTGAATGAAAGCAGCGATGATGTTATCATTTCAGGTAATTTCGTACAATCGGCAATTTCGACACGTCGTCGAAAAAGTTACATGTATCTTCCGAGCGCAAAATGAATTTTAGTCGTGATATCCTGATGACAAATAAGTACCTGTTTCAACACGATGCTTTCTTTACATCAGATGATAGACATAAAAAATCATCTAACTTGTCGTTGGGTCGCATCACATGAAAGGGATCTGTTCCTGCGCTGGCTGTATATACTAACTGTGACAGCTAGTTTTCTCTAAACCTGAGTTTAGTGAACTTCGCTCTGATTGGTTAAATTGCAATCCAATCCCAATCCCGAACCACAATCTGATACAGGCATTAGATCCGAATATGGGTTTGCTTTGTTATTGCTGCACCAATTTTTTCTTCTCTTCCCCGTCAAACATCAAGAAAAAGAGGAGAAGAGAACCAAACGCAAGCCAAATCCCGGTCTACAATAGGTGTTTTGAACTTCAAGTAATTGACCAATCGCAGCCAAGTGTGAAGAGAACAATCAACTGTGATTGGTCAATTTCTCAAGGCTTGAAACACCCATTGTAGAGATTGGTGCAGCTTGTGCGGCAATGGAAAACGGTCCCATGAATATCGGCCGTAGTGTGGTCGCATCTTTACCGAATTGTGTTCCATGTTCGAATAAAAGCCCACGATCGAGCAGCCTTTCGGCCTTGATGCGGGTTGGAACGTCGAGCGAGCGTTGTTTCGTTCGCGTGTGCACGATAGATTCGTACGCCGCGGAAGGAGACACTCCGGTTCATCATGGCGGAAAATGTTTTTATTCCGTGATATAGTACGTGATCATCACATCGGTGTATCGACTCGCCCGGTCGCTGACTCAGACAACGCTGATCCTCCTGTTCGACGTCGAGGCCGGCGGTCAGCCAGCGGTAGCAGTTATGGATATGCGCGGCATCGAGGTCACGAATCAGCTACGCGTGAGTGTCGAGTTCAAAACACCCCGAGTATCAGCACGGGAGATTCTCGGAAGGACAGTAATATTTGGTCTGGCTTGCGTGTAAATATAGCGACTCCTTGTGAATTTTATCCGTTGATAACGTGATCCTTCACGGTCGTGTCGCACAGTCTCGCGCGTCTTACAGGAGTACGTACAGAATTTGAGGGACAACACGTATAATCGTTCCCATTTTCGCGAACCTGCGTACATTATTCATGAGTTCGGGTGTTTTATGAGTGTTGGAGTGTATTTATTTATTCAGCGTTTTTCTTTGTTTCTTATACACGCGACGGAGATTAAATTACAGAAGTAATTGGAACTATAGCTTTCCTGAGCGTTCCAGTGAGTCCTGGTACTGGTTTTAAGGTAGAAAATCTGCGACGTTCGTGCAGAATCAGGTGGAATATTTCTGTCGCTATGTATCGAGCAAATTTAGTACCATACAGTTTCCTAATTTTGTACCCGTTGGAAGAATTGATAGGCAGTTGAAAGAATCTCATGTTTAGGTGTTCCATCAACTTGTATACCTTGAAATATTGTGGAGAAGCATCTGTAGGGATTTATGATGATATGACTTTAAGGTAGAAATACCTTTTTATATCATATTTCACTGCTAAATATTAAGGTTAGATGATAGAGGAGATTAGATAATGTTTGCTACTTGAAAGAAATCTACCAGGTGATACAGACGATTTGATCGAGTCACCTAATAGTTCTGGATTTTTACCGAATAAAGTCTCAACGTCTGCCTTCCAGAGCGCCATTCGCGCCAAGCTGATGGAGCTGGGAGTCCGCTATGACGAGGAGCTGCCGGACTACATACTTGTGATGGTGGTGAACAAGAAGTCCCGCCAGCAGATGCACGACGACCTGAATCTCTTCCTGGAGGACTGCACGACCATCTTCGTGGACTGGCTGCACGACCAGGTGCTGAAGAAACTGCAGAAGGTCACCGTGGCGAAGAAGAAGTCGTCCCGCGAGTTCGTCCCCACGGTGGTGGTGAAGCAGGAGGAGGAGCGGAAGAAACGGAAGATATCGGCGACGTCGTTCCTGGAGGATCAAGCGGCGGACCAGCCCGCGGAGAAATCGTCGACGAAAATCGCGAAGGACGACAAGCCGGCGCAGCAGAAGCAGCAAGTCGCGAAGCTCTCCGCGCCGAGCTCGGAGCTGAGTTCCAAGAGCGCGGAGAAGAACGCGAAGAGCGGCAAAGGTAAGGCGGACGAGGTGTCGACGAGCGTGGTCGGCCAGCAGGAGGCTCCTGCCGTGAGGAGACCGCAAGGTTCCGTGCGTGACGCCGAGAGCGCACCGACGAAGGAAGTCCCTTCGCCGGAGAATCTTGCCGCGAAGACCGTAGACACGCATCGCGATCAACGAGCGAGCGCCGAGGCGCCGCCGGTGAAGAAGCGACTGCCGGAGACGTCGAGCGGTCACCACGACGACAAGAGGGAGCAGGAGGCGAGGAGCCGACCGAAGTCGCCCGACGAGGAGGAGGCGGAGCACTCCGCGACATCGCCGGACGCCACGAGGAAGCTGAAGTCTTGCGTGAACAAGCCGAGGATCACATCGGTCGTGTCGGTGAAGAATCGGCTGGGCGCGGCCTCGCCGCGGAAGAAGTTCGAGGTGTATCGCGAGAAACAGCCGCCGGCGGCCGAAGGCAACGGCCGTTATCGTCAGTCGGATAACAAGCGCTTCGACAAGCATCGCTACGGCGACAACGGCCGCGGTGGTTTCCAACGGAACCGGGGCTTCGTCGAGGGTGAGGATCGTTCCAGGAATCGGAATCGCGACGACTCGCGTCACCACGAGGCGAGTAAGATGAACGACGTGAGGAGTAGGATAGAGAGTAACAAGAACGAGAAACTGGCGAGGAACGCGTCGCAGCAGCAGGAGTCGCTGCGGGAGAGGAGCGGCTCGAAGAACGCCGCGGAGAACGCGCTCGCGAAGAAAGCCGCGTGCACCGTCAAGGATCGCCTGGGGCTCGCCAGCAAGTCCGCGAAGCTGCAAGAGACCGCCGTGGACTGGAGCAGGAACCCGAAGGGCAACGGCGCGGAGCAGCCGCGCGACTGCGTCGCTAAGAACATCAAGAACCGACTGGGTCCGTTGAGAAACAACTTCCGGCCGGTGCGCAAGGCCAGCGGTAGGCAGTCGGGACGCAGCAGCGAGGACGAGGATTGTCTGAATCTGGCCGCCGAGATGGAGCAGGAGGAGCTGGACGTCGACGAACAGTCCGCGGTGAACACCGGCCCCGTGAAGTCTCACATAGTCGCCGTGAACAAAAGCGCCGGGAAGCTCGAGAGGAGACGGCCGAAGGAAGCTTCGACGTTCAACGCGATCCAACACTCCAGATATCCAGGCGCGAAGTCGCGGCTGGACAAAACAGCCGGGCCGTCCAGCGACGCGGACGAGGACGTCGACGAGACGCGGTTGCCGAGCAAAGTGATCGTTACGCCCAGACCTCTGAAACCGCTGCAACCGACGCAGAAACGCGCCACGCAGTCGCTCCTGCTCAGAGCGGTCGCGGAAGCGAACCAGTCGGTCGTCACGCAAAAAAACCCGGAGCCGTCTCTGTTGGTGCGTACCGTGTCAATGTATGTCGCCTCGAATTGATTGAAAATGAAAGTTATCGGTAAATAAATGTCGACGAGAGTCCGATCAAATAAAAGAGATCCTTGTGCCGAATCCAATTGTTGCGTCGGTGCCGGAAGTACGTGAAGAGAGTTTCCCGGAATGCTTCACAACCACTGTGTAAATATTTATACTAACGTGGTACGCTGTGGTTGCGAGAAACTCTCTCTGTCTCTCCCTCTCTCTCTCAGAGAGACTCAGAGAGACTTTCTCTAGAGAGAGAGAGAGAGAGAGAGAGAGTACAGTGGGAAATGGAAAATGTCCGAGAAATGTTCGATCGATTGAAGTTTTCTGTTTTTCCTTAGGAGAAGAAGCTGGTTTTAAAGCGTCTAAAACCCGCCTCGATGCGCGACATGAGCCAAAATTTGTCGGTGCATCTGAATTCCACCAAGAGGCTAGTCATGGAGAAAATACAGATTGAATTAAATACGTCGGATAATCTTGATACGGAGGATGCCGAACCTGCACCTTGTAAGTTCACATCTACCTGCCGAAAAACGTATTTCTGTCTACGCGTCGAGAGAGCTGCACGAAATCTCTCTGATCTCTCCAGTTTTTCGCTTTGTTGTTGGAACCAATGTGTGTATTATTAGAACTCTACTGATTATCCTTCTGTACAGTCGAACGAATTTTCATAAGTATTTCAGAAAACATAGTCGAAACATAGTTGGAAAATAAAAGAAAAAAAAGAAATAAATTAAATTTATGTATGATTTCGGTTTTCGCGCGTAATGCGGGTACTCACTGTCGCACAATCCGCAGATGTACCTCAAGCGGTAATGGACGAGCACATGGGAGTTGTAATGTCGTTGTTCCAAAGGAGCGACGACAACCAGAAATTTTTAGTCACCCTAAACGGATACAACAACAATCTCATGAAGGAAAAGCTCGGTTCGGAAGACGATGAGGAGCGATTGGAGATGGAGGTAACTTCTGCTGATTGTGAAACGACTTGGAGTTTTACTCTTAAGAGACTGGGGACAAGACTCTCGAAGAAAATTTACTTTTTGTTTAGTTGTGTTAGAAAAAAAAGATATCAATTTTCGTCCCCTTTTCGTTTTTCATGGAAATCTAGAGTTAAACCGGCAGCACATCGAGAAACGTAAGTAGTAAGATTTGAGTAATAAGAAAATTGACCAATCACAAACGATTATTCGTTGAATGGTAAGGCTGAATTTATAAAAAAAATGTAGTAAGCCCTTAGCTTTTGGCTCTAAGCACAAAATTGCAACGTAATTTCTAGCGAAAGGCGTTTTCTAGCGTTACCAAACGTCGTAATCCCTGAGATTTAAGACGACTTTTGGCAGCGGGAATGCCTTTCTCAGATATTGCGTTACATTTCACTGCTCAAAAATCAAAGCAAAAGACTGAAAGTTTACTACATCTATCGTAAATCCGGACTAAGGAGGATAATCAATATTGTGGTCGATTAATTTGCTCACCGCTCAAGTTTTACCGCTCGTGTTTCTCCGTGTGTTCCTTCCGGTTTCTTTACGCTTTATTTATAGAAATTACCGTCGCGCTAGCGAGCAACTAACTTATTAGGGATGTAGAATATTAAAAAAAAAGGAGCGTGTTCTCTCCGCTTTATGCTGCGCGCGAGTGCCGGCATGTCCAAAATCTCATCTCATACGCGTGAAATTTCCTCGTTCCAGTCTTCCAGGTTTAATCCTCCCACGCATTCTAAACGCACGATGTGCCACATACTCGCAGGTGAACGAAGACGACGAGCTCGCGCTGTTGACGACGCACAATGAGACGTATACGACGCCGGCACAGAGCGAGCTAGAGAGCGGCACGTTCCGGATAACGGACGGAATAACGGAGGACGACGCGGACGACGGTAGTCCGAAAGAGGCGAGCGAGGAGAACAATGAGAACTGCAACACCGAGAACGTTGACAAGACGGACGAGGTGCCACGGAAGCGGAGAAAACTAAGTCCCATAGTGTACAACCGATCTCACTCGCCGAGTCCCACGCGACTAAAAACCAGCACATTGTCGGCCAAGTGTGCGTATCAGGAACGAAGCGTATCGCGAGGATTCCTACTCGCCCATAAGCCAATGCCGCCAAGTGCAAATACGCAACGGAGAGACGATAACGTTACGTTGCAACTTTCAGTTACGGATAAAAGGCCGCCGGCGGAGAGCACTGTTCCTATCGCCCTGGACAAGTCCAGGGAGAACTGTAGATACTGGCCAAATTGTACGTTAGGGAACAAATGCGCGTATCTTCACCCGCCTGTTATGTGCAGGTAACGCATTGTTTTTTTTTTTATACGCGCTAACTTTTAACGGCATGTGGCTAGAAGGGTGTAGAGGATACAGCAGCAATGTTCTAGATTATGTTTTAGGAGAGATCTTTCCGAGCAAAGAGGTTCAGGTATACTATATAAATCAATTCGGCTCAGTTGTCTGGATACGGACTATTATTATATTAATATTGTAACAGGCGAGAAGTATTCGGTTCTTATAATTTTCATTAGATAAACATTGTTCTCCGAATTATTATTTGTTCAGAATGCTCACTTTTTCCTCACAGATTATGTTGGCCAACTGTTGGCGGAACTCTGGTTTACCGTCATTGTCATACGCGAAATTTCAAGTTCAAGACCAGAAGGTAGCGGAGCCGTTGGGATCCAGCAATTTGCGTTGCTGGCAGGAATAAACTTTTTCATGTCCCAATAATTGAACCGAATTGACCTATAGTGTATACACCATATAGCGTGTAGTGTTGTCGCCAAGATATCTTGAGAAGTGAGCTACTTTTTTTTTTCTTTTTTAATACAGAATCCGACCTATTGTTTCCCGTGCGATCATTAGCTCGTACAGATTACTTAATTCTTCATTAACTATTGCGATTTTTGTAAAATGGCACATGATTCTCCTGCTCAGTTTAATCCGTTCCACTTACACACTACGAATTCCGAGATAATTATCGGACATTCTGTATATATTTTTCTATTATTATGCGTACACTGTGTTGTGAAGCAACGCGCGTTATCGCATCGCGTGAATCAACACAGCCTCGACTATGATTTTGAACTACACATCGGATAAACCGTCAACACGTCGACTGTCACAGGGTGATGTGATAATTATTAACACTTTGAATATCTTCGAATAATAAAAATATTTTATTTGACTATTAAATATATAAACTATTGAAATATATTATAATTATAAATTATTAAATAAAGATGAAACAAATTTACATTTACGGAAAATATTCGAAGAGATGATTATTGTTATCGACCATTGGCGTCCTCTGTTGTAGACACATTTTCTCCTACTTTTTCTCGCATTTCGAAAATATTCAAGGTGGTCAATATTCATCACCTGATCCTTAATATTCATATTAACGTCCACATTACTTATATATTAATTAGCATATTAAAGTAACACCGATCCTGAAGTGGCGTCGGGCGAACGAAGTTCCTCAATTTTACCGGCGACCATATCGAGATCGATCGGGGAATAATTGAATCGTGACTAACTTGAATTCGGAATTAATTGCGGAACTAATTTTTCCCATCTGTTTTCGCTAGGCGTACTAATTTCTCCTCTTTTTCTCCTCGGCACAGTGCCTTCCCAGCGTGCAAGTTCGGGGACAAGTGCGCCTACAGGCACCCCAAATGCAAGTTTGGCCTGTCGTGCACCAAGCTGGGCTGTGTATTCTCCCATCCGGCCCAGCAATGCAAGTACCACCCGTTCTGCACGAAACCGGCGTGCCCGTACTCCCATCCGGCCACGTCGCACGTACAACCGCTCGCAACGGAAGTGACGAGCCAGCGGGCGAAGTTCACTTGGCGACGGCGAGACTGAACCAGACGTGGATAAGCACGGACCTTAGCGCGTCGTTTCGGCAACGGAAGCGGATCGAGAGACATGCTGCCGGGTCTCCACGAGAGAGACCACTTTGTACAGATAGAAACAAAAGGGACGTACTTTACGCAGTAATCTTGAAAGGGCGACGCGTCATACGAATCGCGACCACGACGATCGACGTTCTCCTGGCATTGTCGGTTGTCGCACGTTCTCGAGAAACTGTTTCACATTATCCGACAGTTCATGTTCATCGAGATACTGTCGGTGCGTATCGTGGACTGACACGAGACCGTGTCGCAGCACAGTTAATTTGACGATCGAGAAATGAATCCGAAATTGAGCAGCCCTGGTAAACATTTCAGTTTCGCGACTCAGCGCACCACATTACCTGGCAGTTGCTTAAACGTAGCGGAGACTTGATTTTCCATTCAAACGGAAACGAAAGATCGGTTGGTTGGCGTGACAATAAACGAACCAGACGCACCTTGCTTGCAAAGAGACAGAATTTCTGACTTTTAAGACTTGGAAATTTTTGTATGTATCCGATTCGTCTCCGAACTGAATTTAGTTCATACGAGTCAGAGATTACGTTACCTCCGATTAAAATACACCTAGTTCGTTCATCGTCGCGTTAAATCCAATCTTTTTTCTCAGCGAAGAGCGTGTCTATTTTGTTCCTCGATCATTTCTCGTGAATTCCGTAGATCGAGAGCATGTCGACAGTAGACCAAATTAAACTGGTGGTTGCTACGTATTTATAATATAGTTATATAATATAACGAAAAAGGGAGGATTGTCAATTAGTCGGAACTGGTCGATGCAATCGGACGATCTTTACAGAATCCCTTTCAACTTTTTACTCTGATGATTCGGGACGATTTCATCGATTTCAATTTATATACATGTGTATCGTGACCGGCACAATGTCAGTCGCCACATAGATGTGCTCGAGGGCGCGTCGTCTGTATAGCTTTTAACGTCGTCGCAGTATATATATATATATACACAATATATATATATATTAGCTCTAAGATCCGGCCAGAGAAGTGGCACACAATTAGGTTTGCTCCTTTTAGCCGTTCTCTTCCTCCGAATTTCTCCACAATCTTTTCCCCTCTACCTCGCTGTCGCTCTTCTCGTCCCCACCTCTCGTTATGAATTCACAAGAGGGTACAATTAGAAGGAGCACACCTATTACAATATTTCGCGTCGCACGTGATGTAACTACCGTTAAGCGAGAACACTTATATTGGTCTATTGTAGAGACTCATCAAGACTCCGGAAACTTTTCTTTTTCTTCTCCTTTTTTTTTCGGTTCGAAAAGTATTTTTCATTACACCAACATATGGCGGCCAATTCTCACAGCCACGCTCGATTTGTTCGCGAGAGCAGACATGAATACGGCGATAGTTTCTGATATGTTTGCGCGCGCGCTTGGCGATGTTACATCGATGTTCTCCCTCTGATCAGAGGCTGTTACTCGCGCCTGGCTAGGTATATTCCGATAACTCGACTTGTGTTTCTTGTGTAATTTACATCGATTGTATAATATCATAGACGAAGAGAGAAGCGGAAATGATTTCGCGTTATTATTTACTTAGCGCTAGCGAATCGTAATCGCACTATCACAGATATGTACAATATTATCGAGATGGAGTCAGAAGCAAATATATGATGATTTCTGTAAATCACAGTTTTCGAGACCTTCCCTTCTTTTGCTCGCTATATGCGCTCACCTTGAACGCACATTGCCCGTAGAGAGAGAGTCACGTACACAATGATATTAATATTTATAGAACTTAAGAGCTTGTATACAATCACATATAGGATTTCTTTGAATTTTACAAGTACTTCACGTGTAACGTCACGTCTCTTGATGCCGTTCAAATTTAGCGCAACCGTACGACCCGCAACATGGCTGACAGTCACGTGATCGACGACCACTGACATCAAAGAAGCCAACAGCTATTGTCACAACTGTATGCAGTTAAATTGTGTCTGTTGTCGATGGCCTAGAGAATACACGAGGAAGATGGCTACCACCATTGTCAAGTATTTATTAACGTGTGAATTACACAACGTAGCATAAAAGACTCAAAGTTTTCAAAAATATAACATATTCTTTTGCTTTTATGTATAGGTTAAAAGATTGCGAAGTCTGTGACATAAAAAAAGCAAGATATACTTGCCCAAAATGTGAGGTTAGAACGTGTTCTCTTACGTGTGTAAATATTCACAAAAAGGAGCTAAAATGTGATGGGATTCGGGACAACACGAAATATATCTCGCTAAAATCATTTACAGATTTAGATGTATTAAGCGGTAAGACATCTTCTCACTCAAGTTTTTGTCGTTTGTAGTCATCTTTTGCAAGAGTTAACTTAATAATCTCGTAGATTATCGTCTTCTCGAGGAGATAGGCAGAACAGTCAATGAATATAAAGGAAATCCAAAGAAAAAATATACACGTCAAGGTGTACCACTACCATTAGTAAGATATCTTTTCACACGTATATATAGTTGTGGATAGAAAGTTGCGACGCTGTGTCACAACCTTTCTGTCCATGACTGTATATATCTTATTTAAATATTCTTAAGAGTATATAAAATAATGATCCTTTTTTTTTAGTATTAGAGTAGTAGAGTATATAAAATAATGATCCTTTTTTTTTAGTATTTGTACAAACTGAAGTCAGCTGCGTTTTCCAGAAAAATATCTCTGTCATTTATGCCACAAAACTTTAGTCGACGTAAAGCAAATACTACATATCTCAATTGGAAGACTAATGAGCTTTTCTGGCGAATAGAATGGATTTTCCCACAAGCAGAAAACATAAAGCGGATAACAACAAAGTACTGATAAAAATAGATATCCATGAATACAAATAGTCCTTTCTAGATGCATAAATATGATAATTTGTTATATGTATTACAGGGCTCTAGAAACTACGAGAGTATCAACACTTGTGGATCAGCTGCTCGATCCTGTTCTTTTATTAAAGGATAAAACTGATAACACAGAATTAAATGTAAAATTGCCTGAAAATGTAGTTGATAGGTTACAATTTTATAAAGCAGCTGGATCAAATAATATTAAAGTTTTGCTAAAAGCTGAAAAAGTGAAAAAATCAAGTTACAGGTAATTCAATAAAATTTTCTTGCATACTCAATTAATGACAGTATATTGAATTGCTTTTTTAATCTCAGGCATTCTTCCAGGTTCTATGACTTAGATCTCACACTTACATTGAAAGAAAATTTGCGAAATAAGACTATAATAGAATTTCCAACACTATATGTTGTTATGAAGGATCATTCTTATATGTATGAAATTATAGACACTGGTAAGTATCGCATGTGTATTATAATAGTGCAATCAATATGATTTAACATATCTCTACTATTACTATTTTTAGATGAAGAAACGAGCGAAACAGAATATGAAAATCGTACAGCAAGAAAAAAATGCACCAATAACGCTTTTGAGAATAAGGAAGATCCAATAAATTATTTCTTCAATGATTTTTCAGAATTTGATGATGAGAACATGAGTGATAGATTACACAGAGACAAATACTCAACTGGTCTTGATATACCTTATTATGAAGAACTACCGAAGACTAGTCCCTAATCTTTATAATGATGGCATACCATTGGCTATTATTATTAATATTTACTTATATATTCCCAGATATTTTTATTGTAAATACATTATCGTTATAGTTTTGGTACAATACAAATATGATTAATATTAATATGACAATGTATATGATCGACAGTATACATATATTTTTTTATTTAGTTTCTTTTCCTTTGAGAATACATACATCTGCATATCACCAGAAAATATAACCACAATTAATAGTAAATATATTTTTTTCAAATCACCAACTCACTAAGAATCACATATATATACGAGGGTTGATCCAGAAATAAGGTTCCCATCAATTTTACAAATAGACAACATTGTTTATTCTCATAGAAATTTACATCGTTGGAAAGATGAAACTTTGCTCTATTTTTCTACATAATCGCCATCTTTTTCTACGTATTTTTGTAGACGGTGCTCCAATTTCTGTATCCCAATGTCGTAGAATTCCGCCGCCAACCCGTTGAAGAAGCGTTTCACCTCTTCTTTGACTTC